CCCCCCCTCACCCCTCTGCAAATTCCAATAAAGCTTTACACATTTCGTTAAATTTTTTGGTCTTACAGAACCCCTACCCCCCAGGAAATTCCAATCCCTTCTGTGGGGGAAGTATGGATATTTTCTGGACCTGCACAATCAGACTTCAGGAATAAAGGCATGAAAGTTCTTTTTTTATTAACATTGTGTGGTGATTATTTAAGGGCCACATCTTTTGCTGAGCGATTGCGCCTTGGATTAGCTGTGATTCATGGTGAGCAGAAGGAGCCAGAGAGTGAACGGCTGGATGGTCGTCAATCACCACCTCCCGCATTAGCTGAGTCACGACGATTTGCATCTGTCAGTATAGACAGCATGGATCTACCGGGTATGAACCTCTTTTGCCCCTCTTTTCCAACAAAATCTCAGGTCTCATTCGACATCAATAATGTGGCATGCGATGAGAATTGTACACTTAAAAAAGTTTTCATGTAGAAAATACTGAGAGGCGAAGTGGCAGAATAGTATGTTGAGAGCCTTTGCAAGGGTCTCTGTTTTTTGTTTTGTTTTTTTTCTCAAGTGAGCAAAACAGTTGACTTTCTTGATGAAGTACCAGGAAATTTTTAGGGACAAAATGCTGGGATGGTGTCTGAGATGGACTTACATCCAGGCTAGGGGAAAGCAGAGATAAGCTTTGGCACCAACGAACCAGTGGGAATGTCCTAGTCACTGATGAAGCCAGTTTTTCTCCAGTATAATAATTAAAAGTACTTAGTAAGCTGAATTTTGCTGATCACTGCTCTTTTGTTTCATGTATTTTTTCTCTTTTGAAGGATTTCTTCCAAAGGCTAAACCTCCAATTAATGTTGTGGGTGATGTTGGAGGCAAGATTGCCATAATAATTGTGAGTGCCAACTACATCAACTACACTCTTTTTTTTTTATCAGAATATTGGGTTTTTTTTCCAGCTGAGGCTGAATATTCTCATTTTACTACCGATTTTAGGCTGAAAATATTCTTTTGAATATTCTTAGATTACTTAGCATATGACATTTCTGTTTTTGAATGTATTTTGCGTCTGGATGATGTTAACGTAATTTTGGAGCCAGCTTGCATGCATTAAAGCCTGATATGATGCAGATGATGATGATTATTATTGAGCGTACTAGTCAAGAAGCAACAAAAACAGCACTAGCTGAGTTAGTGCTGTTTCTGTTGCTTTTTGAGTAGTTTTGCCGTTTAGAGAAGGGACAATTGTATACAGTTTAGTTAAAAATGAATAATTGGGTTGTACATGTATTTACGAATTTTTAACACAGGAAATTTTCAAAATCTCAGCCTCGGGTTTACTCTTAAAATATTCTTAAAATCTCGCAAATTTCAGCCTTGACATTCTTATATAACATATACTTATAAAAAAGTAACAAGTGTACTTGACAGTGTATTTGGTTAATAAATACTTGAGAGGTGATATGTGTAGTTACATGTGTTAAATCTTCTGTTAATCTTTAGGGAACTGTTTGTGTGCATGTCACTCTGTGTTTCTGTTGCAGTGCTATCACTCTATTGTATTTGTGATGTAGCTGTTTTCCATATGTGAGAAGGACTTATAATTCTCTTATTAAGTTGTAATTTGTTGCTCTGTGACCGTACAGAGTGTTTTGCACCATGGTCCTATTCATGTGGTTTCATTTGGTCAATAGAACATTTTACAGTTGTCTGCTCAGTGACGTGGCCTTTGAATGGCACCGAGGCTGGAGTTGACCTTGTTTTGATGCAGACCGCACTGCTTTTGTTGTGTAAAACGAGTTGTGTAGATGTTAACTAGGTGCATTTACATGACAAAAGCAGTGAGGTCTGTATCAAAACAAGGTCAACTCCAGCCTCGCTGCCGTCCGAAGGCTAGGTCACTGAGCAGACAACTGTAAAATGGTCAATTGTTTTTCATGTAGGATGATATGATAGACGATGCAGAATCATTTGTAACCGCTGCCAAGCTTCTAAAGGATCGAGGTGCATATAAGATATTGGTAATGGTGACCCATGGCTTACTGTCTGCTGATGCTCCAAAGCTGATAGAGGAATCAGTGATAGATGAGGTTTGATACTGATGAGAATATTCTTCTCTCTTTTACTTTACCTACACTTACAGACTTTCTAGTTAGAGCCACGTTGTAAATGTTAGGACCACCTTGTGCATAATAAACAGTACCACATGAAAGTACTGCCCAATAGCTTTCATTGAAATGGTCACACACTAGGGTTTCATTCACAGACTTCAAAATTAAAACAACCTTGTACAGCATAATAAACAGTACCACATGAAAGTACTGCTCAATAGCTTTCATCTGAATGGTCACACACTAGGGTTTCATCCACAGACTTCAAAATTAGAACCACCTTGTACAGCATAGTAAACAGTACCACATGAAAGTACTGCTCAATACTGAGCTTTCATTCGAATGGCCACACACTAGGGTTTAATCCAGACCCCAAAATTAGAACAACCTTGTACAGCATAGCAATCAGTACCACATGAAAGTACTGCTCAATAGCTTTCATTCGAATGGTCACACACTAGGGTTTCATCCATAAGCTTTAAAGCTAGAGTACCGTGATAATTTTCTCCAAGTAGGACTGCATTCCTTGACTCCCAATGGGTGTCTTTGTTCTCATCAGGTCGTAGTCACCAACACTGTGTCTCATGACACTAAGATGTCTCGCTGCAGTAAGATCCGAACAGTGGATATCAGCTCGCTACTGGCTGAAGCTATCCGTCGGATAAACAATGGAGAGTCGATGGGATATCTATTTAGAAATGTTCCTTTAGAGGACTAGTGCAGCTATTGTGTTGCAGTGTGACACTCTTTTGTGGTTACTTCTGAGGAAACTGGCACTACATGTAAAGAACATAACCGGAACAAAGTGTTTATCTGCAAATTCGTCTGATCTTCTAAATGTTGTATGCATAGCTAATCTTCAAGTGAAGTCGTGGGAAGGGGTGGTTGTAAAATATATCTATCTGTGATGCTGGTTGTTAGAAATGTTATCTAAAAGTTTCATTTGTATAGCGACTATTTCATTGAGAATCAAATTCTTGTAAGGTCGGTACACACTAGGGGACATGTTGCAACGATTTTAGGTTTTTCTCGTGTAACATGCCCTTTTTGCGAATAGGTTTTCTCGAGGGGAAATAATTTTGTCCTGCAGCTTGATGCAAGAAATTCGTGTGGTTTGAGTTCGAGCGTCATGAAGTTGGGACAAAATGTCTCAATTTTCAATGTCGCATCGTGTGCATTGCTCTCGCAAACTGTCCCAGCTACAACAGAAATAAACCAACATCCGCCTCGTGTGCACCAGCTTGCGTAATATCCCTAAAACATTCACCCAATGCGACACGCAAAGGGGCTTCTCGCCGCGTTATACGTCCCCGCAGCAAGTGCCCTAGATACCGACCTCAAATTATGATAATCAAATGAAAGAAGTTCGTTTTGCAAAGATGGAAGAGACTGTCCAATGTGTTAGCCTAAGTGCTGGCCCGGGTTGTTCGATTAATTACTATCTAGCCGATAGCATGGTTTGTTTTCGCAACACTTATCCACTGGATAGCGATTTATCCAGTGGATAGCGTTATCCACTTTCGAACAACTGGGGCCTGATGTCTTCCATTTCCTTTGTTCCCACTATTTTCTGCGTGTATCAAAGGAATAATAAACGGCTGCACGTCGGCTGCCGATGTATTTGGCCGTGTGAAATGTTCTGGTCAGATGATATCTGCCTCTCAATTTGGTTGATGATGGGGAAAAGAGAGCCTTCAGATTGAAAACAGACGGAAAACCCAGTCAACTTTTCCCACTCTGAAACGCTGCGACTTCACAAACTTACCACCCATGAGAATCGAATTGGAGTAAATTTTTGGGTACATGGCCCACTCTATAGACAATTTTCCCGAACCCACGATGTCTATACTTTATCTAAAACACTAGATTAAAGAATTGAAAATATCACAAAAACTGTTTTGATATTTAAACGAATTCTTCCAGCTGTTACTATAAGAAATATTTTGGGAACACAAAGGAGAATTTGTATGTTTGTTTTTTGTTTGTATTTGATTTCTCAACACAAGTCTGTTCTTGCAGCTACTTATTTCTTACAGTCTGTATCCTTTGAAATGATCCTGATCGTATACTTTCTGTCGAAATTTAGGAAATTGCTTTCAATTACATTGTGTCAATGTAGGGTTATATTAGTTAAAGAAGCCCTTTTTTATTAATTAAACAAGCTACGGAAAATTCTGAGTACGTGTCATCTTTATTTTGGAAGGAGATATATAGAGTGTAAGCCAAGTCTTCAGTGCATGTCCTGAAAAGATGAAAGTAAAAATCTCATTGGTATGTTACCTGTAGTGTGTTACTCCAATTCTGGACCTCTCGCTGTTACGTAACGCCACGCTCTCGGAACAGCTAGAGACCCACTCTCTGGAGAGGGCTAGAACAGGACTTAGGTAAGGCTAGGCTTGCCTGCGTGTAGACTTCTACTTCCAGTGGTTTAAATACAGGAAATGGTATACTTTTAAACAGGAGGCTACGCTGCTTCAGATCGAATGAGAAGTTTGCTGCTCACGTTTGGAAGTTTGGAAAAATAGGCCGAGTTACCTTATGCCTCCGTTTCAAAACGAGTCCGGCAAAAACCTTTCATTTGAAAATGAGTGATTTGCATGAAAATGAACATGTTGGCGGAACACATGTCCATATGGAAAGTTTCGCTTGAAGACTCGTTTTGACACAGACAAAAGGCAACTCGGAAATGGCCAATTATCAATCATCAGGGCACTGGGAACGAGAATGTTATGCAAACGCCACTGAAATGTAGGCTTGCGTGGAGTACATACGGCGTCTCACCTTTTCAGTTGCTTTTTGTCCACGACTCTCCTTCAGCAAAAAGGCAGTTCCAGTCAGTGGTAGCGCTATCAGTCGGGCATGAATAACCACTGATATTTTCAAACAGAGTACAGTATACTGTACCAGCAAAGTTGTACAGGCGAATACCCTTGCAAGGCGGACGATCATCGCACCTTTGTTGGCACAGAGGCCTGGCGTAATCAAGGTCTCCAAAGTAAGTAGTTTCTGATCCCAGACTTGTTCCGCTGATGAACTTGTATCCTGGTACTTTGGTCCAGGAGGCTTAAATGACAAGGAAAACAAGCACATTAGCGTTACCAAAAAAAATCAGCTGGGCCCGGCGGTTATAAATGAGGTCGCTATACACTCTTTTTTTATAAGAATAGAGGCTGTATTCTTATTTTTCTGCCGATTTTAAGCTGAAAATATTCTTGTGAATCAGATTAGAGCGCATGAGATTTCTGTTTTTGAACGTATTTAGTGTTTGGACGGTGTTAAAGTAGTTTTGGAGACAGCCTGCAGGCATTAAAGCCTGATGTGACGCACATAACGTCTTGCAGAAATGTTATTAGCATCAAACATACGGCTAGTGCTGTTTTTGTTGCTTACAGTTTAGAGAAGAAATAATCTTATACGGTTTAGTTAAAAACATATAGTTGTGTTGTATTTACAAATTTTCAACACATAAAATTGTATTCTTTTCAAAATCTCAGCCTCGGGTTTATTCTTAAAATATCCTTAAAATTTTGCAAATTTCAGCCTCGAAATTCTTATATACTTATTCTTATATAAAAAAAAAAAAAAAAAAAAAA